ATATGGTAATAAAGATGAGGACAACAGTCCAAACAATGTAAATAGTGTAAATAGTTACAATACCTCATCTGAGAAATAGAGACAGATGTTGAAGGAGAATATAATAAAGATGAGGACAACAGTCCAAACAATGTAAATAGTGTAAATAGTTACAATACCTCATCTGAGAAATAGAGACTGATGTTGAAGGTGAATATGGCAATAAAGATGAGGACAACAGTCCAAACAATGTAAATAGTGTAAATAGTTACAATACCTCATCTGAGAAATAGAGACTGATGTTGAAGGTGAATATGGCAATAAAGATGAGGACAACAGTCCAAACAATGTAAATAGTGCAAATATTTACAATACCTCATCTGAGAAATATAGACAGTTCCTGATGAAGACCTGGGCTACAGCTATTGCGAAGGGTGGTAAAAAGATAGTCATTGTTAAAAGCTACAAAGGATAGAAAGTTTTGGAGAGACATCATCATCTACCTATCTCTGCTATCGTAAATGGATGGCGGAATAAAGATTGCGACGGTTAGCAAAAAGTTAGACGTTGTTAAATGCTACAAAGGATAAGAAATTGTGGAGAGTCATCACCCTATACCTAACGAGCTTGGGCAAATGGATGGCAGAATAGGGATTGCGATAGACAGTAAAAAGATAGACATCGCTAAGTGTTACAAAGTGTAGGAAGTTGTGGAGAGTCATCACCCTATACCTAACGAACTTGGGTAAATGGTTGGTAGAATAGGAATTGCGATGGACAGTAAAAAGATAGACATCACTAAGTGCTACAAAGGATAGGAAGTTGTGGAGAGTCATCACCCTATACCTAACGAGCTTGGGTAAATGGATGGCAGAATAGGGATTGCGATGGATAGTAAAAAAATAGACATAGTTAAGTGCTACAAAAGGTAGGAAGTTGTGGAGAGTCATCACCCTATACCTAATGAGCTTGGGCAAATAGATGGCAGAATAGGGATTGCAAAGGAATATAAAAAGCCATTATTTACTAAGAGCTACAAAGGAAAGGAAGTTGTGGAGAGACATCATCCTATACCTAAAGCGGTTTTGTAAATGCATGGCTGAATAGGGGTCACAAAGTATAGTAGACATTTTAGGAGGTACAAAGTATAGGAATTTGTGGAGAGACATCATCCTATACAGAACAATTTTTGTAAATGCATAGCAGAGTAGGGATTGCAAACAGATTGAAAACTGACTGGTTAAGAGATAATTAAGGATTGGAAGATGTGGAGAGATATTATCCTATACCTATCGAGCTTTTGTAAATGGATGGCAAAATAGGGATTACGAAGGAGGGTAAAATGGTAGACATTTTTAAGTGCTACAAAGGACAGGAGGTTGTGGAGAGACATGATCCTATTCCTAACGAGCTTTGGTAAATAGATGGCAGAATAGGGAAGGTGAGGGAATATAAAACGCCAGACATTGCTAAGAGCTACAAAGGAGAGGAAGTTGTGGAGAGACATCATCCTTTACCTATCGAGCTTTTGTAAATGGATGACAGAATAGCGATTTCGAAGGAGAGTAAAAAGATAGACATCGCTAAGCGCTACAAAGGGTAGGAAGTTGTGGAGAGTCATCATCCTATCCCTAACGATCTCCTGTAAATGCAGTATATGGATTGTGAAAAATAGTAAACAGATAGATATTACTAAGGGATACATATATAGGAAGTTGGGGAGGGATATCATCCTATACCTAATGATTTTGGGCAAATGCATATCAAAATTAGGATTACGAATAAAATTAAAAAGATAGACATTGCTAAGAGCTACAAATGATAGGAAGTTGTGGAGAGACATCACCTATGACTAATGAGCTAGTGTAAATTGATGTCAGAATAGTCAATGCGAAGGATAGTAAAAAGACAGATATAGGTAAGAGCTTGGAAGGATAGGAAGTTGTGGAGAGACATCAACCCCATACTTAACGATGTTGGCTAAATTAATGATAAAATAGGGAATGCGAAGGACATAAACTTTGCTAAAGCTACAAAGAATAGGAAGTTGGGGAGAAACATCACCCTGTATCTAACGAGGTTTTGTAAATGGATGGCAGAATAGGGATGTGAAGGATAGTAAAAAACAGACATTGTTAAGAGCTACAAAGGAAGTTGTGGAGAGACATCATCTTATACCTAACGAGCTTGGGTAAATGCATGACAGAATAGTGATTGCGAAGAACAGTATAAAGGACATCGCTAAGTGCTACAAAGGATAGGAAGATGAGGAGAACTCACCTTCTTTGGATCTGTCACTGGATCTAACCAACGCCTTTATCCACTGTGCCATGTGTCCTTGAGGACATCTGGATATGAACTTCTGAGTATTATAAACCTAATGTTTTCAGCATCATTTTTACCAGTGCTCATATTGCAATTTTTGCTGTTATCATTGCATGTCTTTACCAGAGTTGATATTGCAACTTTGTTATCATTGCTTTTCTCTGGCACTCCTTATTACTGGTTCCCATATTGTATTTATTTCTATGCTTGGTCGGCTCAGGAGATTTTTGTGGCCTAGCATAAATGTGTTAAATGAAATCGATATCAGAGAACTGGGAAAAAATTAGCTCGACGTAAACACGAGGCAGAAAGTAGGAAGGGCACTCACATGATATACATACATATATATATATATATATATATATATATATATATATATATATATATATATATATATATATATATATAAAAACATAAGAGGTTCAAAAGAAAGTACTACATAACCAACCTGACGAGATTGTGCAAATGGTTGTCAGAACAGGGATTACGGGGGGTAGCAAAAAGAGAAAGATTGCTAAGAGCTACAAAGGGCAGGAAGTTGTGGAGAGTCATAATTGCTCACGCCGTGAAGGGACACTGCACATAGAAGAAGAAAACATGGGTTATTGCGAAGGATCTGTGTCAGAATATACACTAGGTGTAAAGCAAGTGGAGCTGACTGCTTATTGGATTATTGTGAAAGATTTGGGCCGACCTATACACGAGATACATGGTAAGGGATTGCGTTTAAGGGTGCATAAAATATAGAGACATGTGACCATAACTACTTATTGGATTAGTGTCAAAAATCTGTGCCCACCTTTCCACGAGATATATGTTAGGAAAGGCTTGCGTTTGAGGGTGCATAAAATATAGAGATATGTGCCCTTAACTGCACATGGGATTATTGTGAAAGATTTATGCCGACCTATAGAAGAGACACATGGTAAGGAAAGGCTTTCTGTTTAGGCTGCATAAAATAGAGAGATATGTTACCTTAAATGCATATGGGAGTATTGTGAAAGATGTGTGCCGACCTTTCCACAGGATACATGTTAGGAAAGAGTTGCGTTTTAGGGTGCATAAAATATAGAGATATGTGACCTTAACTTCTTATTGGATTATTGTGAAAGATTTATGCCGACCTATACACGAGATACATGGTAAGGAAAGGGTTGCGTTTAAGAGTGCATAAAATATAGAGATATGTGACCTTAACTGCTTATTGGATTATTGTGAAAGATTAGTACCGACCTTTCCACGAGATACTTGTAAGGAAAGGCTTGCGTTTTAGGGTGCATAAAATATAGAGATACGTTAACTGCTTACAGGATTAGTGTGGAAGAATTGTGCCGACCTTTCAACGAGGTACATGGAAAGGAAAGGCTTCGTTTCAGTGTGCCTGAAATATAGAGATATGTGATCTTGACTGCTTATGGGATTATTGTGAAAGTTTAGTGCCGACCTTTCCACGACATACAAGGTAAGGAAAGGCTTGCGTTTAAGGTTGCATACAATATAGAGATATGTGATATTAACTGCTTATTGGATTATTGTGAAAGATTAGTACCGACCTATACACGAGATACTTAACGAAATGCTTGCTTTTAAGTGTGCATAAAATAGAGTGATATGTGACCTTAACTGCTTATTGGATTATTTTGAAAGATTTGTACAAACCTTTCAACGAGAAACATGGTAAGTAAATGCTTGCCTTTTCGGGTGCATAAAATATAGGGATATGTAACCGTAACTGCTTATTGGATTATTGTGAAAGATTAGTGCCGACCTTTCAACGAGAAACATGGTAAGGAAATGCTTGCCTTTTCGGGTGCATAAAATATAGAGATATGTGACTTTAACTGCTTATTGGATGATTTCTTCATGTATATGAAGTCCCTTCTTTCTTTTTTTCGTTTTTCTTTCTTTTTCTCTTTCTTTCTTATCTATCTATCTATCTATCTCACTTTCTTCATATATATTAAGTCCCTTTCGTTTTACTCTCTCTTTCTTTCTTGCTTTCTTTCTTATCTATCTATCTATCTATCTATCTATCTATCTATCTATCTATCTCACTTTTTTCATATAAAGTCCCTTTCTTTCTTTCTTTCTTTCTTTCTTTTTCTTTCTTTCTTTCTTTCTTTTCTATCTATCTATCTCACTTTGTTCATATATATTAAGTCCCCTCTTTTTTTTTTTTCTTTTTTTTATTATTATCTATCTATCTATCTATCTATCTATCTATCTATCTATCTATCTATCATATATATATATATATATATATATATATATATATATATATATATATATATATATATATATATATATATCAGTTTCTTTTTCTTTCTTTCTTTCTTCTATTTATTTAACGTGTAATTAGCCATACCCTAGACGAGAAGGCATCCTTATTTCATTCTCTTATTTGTCAACCCATTTTTATCCATCGTATAATCTGTGTGCCTTTTTTCAATGCATGTCTTCATATGGGATACAAGGAGGCAAACATTTATTAGCCGGGCACAAGGCGTGTGCATTACTCGGGGCGGGGGTGTTCAATCTACTGATTGAATTTTAAAAAACTTTACTGATTACATTTTACACGATGTTCGCCGTAGAAACATTTCAAATGTCAAACCGAAAGAGCAAGAAGTGAATGAATTTTCTGTTCGGGATTTCCATCGAATTTTCACTTAAAAATTTACTAAAGTTGACAATCATCAACGGTTGAAACCCCTTACACAACTACAATCAGTGGTTGATAGATAGATAGATAGATAGATAGATACGAACAGAGAGAGATAGATAGATAGATAGATAGATAGATAGATAGATAGATACGAACAGAGATAGATAGATAGATAGATAGATAGATAGATAGAACAGACTGAGAGAAAAGAAGATGGTGACAGATAGATAGATAGATAGATAGATAGATAGATAGATAGATCAACAGACTGAGAGAAAAGAAGATGGTGACTGAGATAGATAGATAGATAGATAGATAGATAGATAGATAGATAGATAGATAGATAGATCAACAGACTGAGAGAAAAGAAGATGGTGACTGAGATAGATAGATAGATAGATAGATAGATAGATAGATAGATAGATAGATAGATAGATAGATCAACAGACTGAGAGAAAAGAAGACGGTGACTGAGATAGATAGATAGATAGATCAATAGACTGGAGAAGAGAGAAAGAAAGGCGGAGAATGAGATAGAGATATAATGAGTAAACATAGATAGATGACTAGACATAGATAGATAGATAGATAGATAGATAGATAGATAGATAGATAGATAGAATGAAAAAAGGAAGAAGCTAATAGATAGAAAAGAAAGCAAGAAAGAATAAAAGAAAGAAAGAAGGGACCTAATAGATATGAACAAAGTGAGATAGATAGATAGATAGATATGAAGAGGATGAAATAGATAGATAGATAGATAGATAGATAGATAGATAAGTAGACATAGATAAATACATAGATTAACAGACTGAAAAAGAGAAAGACTTAGACAGATAGATAGATAGATAGATAGATAATGAGTAGACATAGATAGATAAATAGATAGATAGTGAGAGAGAGAGTGTGAGAGAGAATGAGAGTGAGTGAGAGAGAGTGAGTGAGAGTGAGTGAGTGAGAGAGAGAGAGTGAGAGAGAGTGAGAGAGCTCTCCCCACCAACGAGATGACAATAGAAAATGATCGTTACTATATCAGTGGGATAGGTATCTTCCTTAATTGCAAGATCCACAAATCATATCATTTACCGCCACTTACGTTCCACCGGGGTTTCTAATTCATAAATGAAGAGGACATTTCCCTAAACCCTTCTCTGGAAAGGAACCCACCACTGCACTGACGTCTAATCTGGGTTAAGTTATACATTTAACTGACGTATGCTGTCTCTTTTAATTTCCGAACTTTCCAGCAATCTAATCGGTGCTTTTCGCTCGTGATACACTCTCCGAAACTATTCTGCCTCGCGTTTAGATATAGATTTCATATATTTATCGGTTTTCATGTTAAGGAGACTGTCGCTTTCTTCTGTTTAGGCTTCTCGCATTTCTAGGGCAGGGTGTAAATGAAAACTTTTGTTAAATTCTTCTCGCTAAACGGATCGGCAAAACAACGAAGGGTGTCACATCAAGCGGGTTTAAGAAGTGCGCTTGAACGGACGTTAAGAGTTGATGCCGTCATAAACAACATTTCGTAACTACCTTATCTATCTATCTATCTATCTATTTTGCTAGCTAGCTAGCTAGATAGATAGATCTACCATCTTTCTTTCTTTCTTTATCAGTTTGTTGATCCATCTATCTGTCTATGTTTACTCATTATCTATCTTATCTATCTAACTCTATGCATTATCGATACATATCCCTATGTAAGAGTACTCACTATCTAAGTTTACTCATTATCTATGTAAGTTTACTCATTATCTATCTATCTATCTATCTATCTATCTATCTATCTATCTATCTATCTATCGCAGTCTGTTCACATCTATCTATGCCTTTTCATTATCTATCTATCTATCTATCTATCTATCTATCTATCTATCTATCTAAGTTTACTCATTATCTATCTATCTATCTATCTATCTATCTATCTATCTATCTATCTAAGTTTACTCGTTATCTATCTATCTATCTATCTATCTATCTATCTATCTATCTATGTTTACTCATTATCTATCTTATCTATGTAACTCTATTCATTATCGATATATATATACCTATGTAAGACTACTCACTATCTATCTATCTATCTATCTATCTATCTATCTATCTATCTATGTTTACTCATTATCTATCTTATCTATCTATGTAACTCTATTCATTATCGATATATATATACCTACGTAAGACTACTCACTATCTATCTATCTATCTATCTATCTATCTATCTATCTATCTCAGTTTGATAATACTATTCAGTCTAATTGTTCATCTCAAAAGGAATATCTAAACTGTTAGTTGTATACAACCGCTTTCTCAGATCAAGGATTAAAACTGGCTTCGAAGGAATGAAGCCTGTTGGCCTTGGCGAGGACCAACCTCCTTCCAACCTCGGGGTTACAGAATTACATCCAAAGAATTAGTCTAAATATCAGAAAGCACATTATTTGAGGACCTTCAACAACAACAGCAACTAAAATCCATAGCTCATGTAACTCCAGAAAAGAATGACATAATCAAGGTATTTAAGTTTCACACTGCTTCAAACAAAATGGAAACTGCCATCGATACTGGAAAGAGCGATAACAGCTACTGGCCTTGAGAAGAGAAAATAATGGCAATCAAGATGTTGTTATTCCACACCGCTTCAAACAAAAGGTTAGGAAGGAAACTGCTATCGATACTGCAAAGAGCGATAATAGCTACTGGCCTTGAGAAGAGAAAATAATGACAATCAAGATGTTGTTATTCCACATTGCTTCAAACAAAAGGTTAGGAAGGAAACTGCTATCGATACTGGAAAGAGCGATAACAGCTACTGGCCTTGAGAAGAGAAAATAATGACAATCAAGATGTTGTTATTCCACACTGCTTCAAACAAAAAGTTAGGAAGGAAAGTGCTGTCGATACTGGAAAGAGCGATAACAGCTACTGGCCTTGAGAAGAGAAAATAATAACAATCAAGATGTTGTTATTCCACACTGCTTCAAACAAAAGGTTAGGAAGGAAACTGCTATCGATACTGGAAAGATCGATAACAGCTACTGGACTTGAGAAGAGAAAATAATGACAATCAAGATGTTGTTATTCCACACTGCCTCAAACAAAAGGTTAGGAAGGAAACTGCTGTCGATACTGGAAAGAGCGATAACAACTACTGGCCTTGAGAAGAGAAAATAATGACAATCAAGATGTTGTTATTCCACACTGCTTCAAACAAAAGCTTAGGAAGGAAACTGCTATCGATACTGGAAAGAGCGATAATAGCTACTGGCCTTGAGATGAGAAAATAATGACAATCAAGATGTTGTTATTCCACACTGCTTCAAACAAAAGCTTAGGAAGGAAACTGCTATCGATACTGGAAAGAGCGATAACAGCTACTGGCCTTGAGAAGAGAAAATAATGACAATCAAGATGTTGTTATTCCACATTGCTTCAAACAAAAGCTTAGGAAGGAAACTGCTATCAATACTGGAAAGAGTGATAACAGCTACTGGCATTGAGAAGAGAAAATAATGACAATCAAGATGTTGTTATTCCACACTACCTAACACAAAAGGTTAGGAAGGAAACTGCCCATCAATATTGAAAAGAGGAACGGCAATTACTGTTCTTGAGAAAGCTATTTTCCTGACGATAAAGTTCCTCTATTGGATTTATGCACTCAGTGGATTCGAGATATTTGTATGACTTACATTACAGAATATCGAGAAAATATTAATTCCTAACTGACGATGACGTAATTAAGCATTGATATTTCTAAAACCAATTTTTCAGTTTGCAAGGCAAAGGTTCATTATCAGAATGTCTTTCCAAAGTAATTCCATCATGCTTATATAGGGCTTTTAGAACTAGAAGAACCACGAAAGGAAGTTGATGTCATGAATATACATACACCTGGTTTCCCCTCACAGTCACTCATTATCGATATATATATATATATATATATATATATATATATATATATATATATATATATATACCCATGTAAGACTACTCACCATCTATCTATCTATCTATCTATCTATCTATATATATATATATATATATATATATATATATATCTCAGTCTGTTCACATCTATCTATGCCTTTTCATTATCTATCTATCTGTCTAAGTTTACTCATTATCTATCTATCTATCTATCTATCTATCTATCTATCTATGTTTACTCATTATCTATCTTATCTATGTATGTAACTCTATTCATTATCTATCTATCTATATATCTATCTATCTATCTATTCTGGTGTCAGCCATAAATACAGACTGATGTGGAGGTACAGGGGTACGCCTATAGTCTTCGCCTATTGCCTACAACTACGACGAGGACCAGTCCATTACGGTTACCTGTTAGATTGTCCTACTCGGTTACAGTAGTCCAAAACCAATTTGCTACTCCGAACAAATATATCCCTTTTCGGGACATATCAGATGTTTAATTGAATTTCCAATCTTAACTGAAGAATAATATAATACTTGTCCTACGAGACATGATATAATTTGGAAGAATATGACAGTCTAGGAGTGGTATAGATTACGGTTCGCTTGATAAATAATATTCGTCACACGGAAATATTATGGCTATAGATCGTTTTTGCCTGAGAGTTAGAGGTGTCAGTCGATTAGGAAGGTAACTACCTTTCTAATCCACTGACTGCTCTAACTAATGGAAGTTTCTATTAATGTTGCTATGTCCTACAGTGAAATCAAAATAACAGGGAGACAATTTCGTGGATTTTGATGACATATAACGGGTGTAACAGCAGCATTGTCCAAATCGTGTAACAGCATAATTGTCCATTCCACAAAATGTTCAATATTTAAAAAATAAAAACACTAAACTGAGTTTCCTTTTTTCCAGATTTTCAGTTAAGACGTTTAGCCATCTTGAAACCATTTGTCATAAGAATCACCGAAAAACCTTTTGAGTTATTCAGCTAGAAACAGAACAGGTTAAAATCATTTTGTGTCAGCCCCACTATATCTTCCCATGAGCAATGGTGCAAGGAAAAAGATCATTCAGTCTTTCAGTAATTGTATCAACATTCATACTCTGACTTCCATCTTCAAAACCGTTCACAAACCATCGAGAGGTGATTGTGTTTTAAAAAAAGGAACAGTAGAGAGGAAAACTGGATGTGGAGGTCACAACAGGAAGAAGAATCATCATTTCGACTTATAGCTAAAGAGATCAATTAGAAAAGATCCAACTCAATCCATGAAACGTTTGGCTCTCGAGAGAGTAGTTTCAGCTATGACAGTCCAAAGAGTAGTGAAAAAGACTTGAAGATTAAATTGTACGTGAAACCTTGTTACTTAAGGACAGAATGTTAAAAGATTAGAGAGGGCAAAGATCATCTTGAATAAGTTGGAAAATGATCCTGAAATAATATATATATATATGTATTTGAACTTTATTTCAATACTTCATGAGCTTCCGATCCTTAGCTATGATAAATTAATTATGAACATGTCATTTACGTTCATGATCGATTTAATCTTGATCCTTCTGTTAATCTTGGAGATTCATTATACATTCTTATTGTTCAAAGTAGAATCCAAATCAATCCATAAGACATTTGGCACGTAAGAGGATTTTCACCAATGAGAGTCCAAACAGAAGTGAAAAAAGACTTGAAACGAAATCGTACCTGAAACTTGTGAGGCAAATTGTTACTCCAGAACAGAAAGTTAGAAGGTTAGAGAGGGCAAAGATCATCTTGGAAAATGATTCTGGAATAATATATATATATATATATATTGGAACTTTATATCCTTCATGAGCTTCCGATGCTTATCTATGATTAATTAATGATGAAGATGTAATTTTCGATTACGATTGATTTCATCACAATTCTTCTGTTCATCTTGGAGAGTAATTATACATTGTTATTGTTCAAAGTAGAATCCAATAATGTTATAAAAACTTGGAGAATTCCAGTAAGATATCTTTAATCATTTCTAAGATACCACGGTTCAGAGCTTAATCTAACAATTGAACAATTTTGCTGTTACACAATTTGGACAATTTTGCTGTTACACCCGGTATGCCCATCATTCCATTCCTTACCAGAATGGAAACCAAACATGGTTTTGAGGAGTTGACTTTCCTAAAACGATGAGAGTCTAGTTAACATAATATTCATTATTACTTTCACAATAATAGATCCAGCTGAGATACCTCTGTATGTGTGTGAATCTTGAGGGCTAGCATTTCGTTTCCATAGTAATAAACCCCATTATTTTGAAATGTGTTTCTGATTCCAAACTTCCTTTGTGAAATTGAGAAACTTGTTTTTGAATTTTAGGAGAAAGTAATCTATTTTCAAAAGTTCAGCCTCAATATCCAGTGATAGTTTTTTTTTTATTCCTTAGTTTTTTAATAGCTTTCTTAATTTCCTTATTAGTACATTCATTATTGTTTATGTTTGGATGCTGACTTTGTAATGATTAGATGTATATTGGTATATTTTCTATTTCATCAGGCATTTTTAGTTAAGTGTGATCAGGGTTGAAATGCAACTGAAAATGTCTTTTGAGACCAGGACATTTCTTCTGTGTCATTTTTTTGTATGATGTTATTGTAATTTTTTGCTTTTCTCCACATTTTAACACATTGTCTATGCCGCTTGGCTTCATTAATTTTGTTTCCAATTTTCCAGATATATTGGTTTCTCGGTATATTAACTATTTTTAATTATTTATTTTTAATATTAGATGTATATTGGTATCTTTAGTTAAGTGTGATCAGGGTTGAAATGCAACTCAAAATGTCTTTCTATTAGATTTATGTATTCAATGCATTCAGAACTTGGAATATAATTTCTAATGGATGAAAAGAGAAAGTCTCTATTGATGTGGTTATTCTGCTACTGTGAGGTCAACATAATAGGCATACAATTTCCTATTAGAGAGGTAAGCAATTTCCTGGAGTTGTTTGATGACATATAAACCTATCATTACATCACTTACCACAATAAAAACCAAATTGTGTCATGAGGAGTTAACTTTCCTAAAACTATAAGAGCCTAGTTTACATAATATTCATTAATACTTTCACAATAATAGATCCAGTCAAGATCCCTCTGTATGTGTAAGGGCATTGAGGGCTACCTTTTGTTTCCATAGTGCAATAATATATGATAAACCCCACTATTTTGGGATTGACATTGTGTTTAAATTCTTGCAGATTAAAGTTGGCTGGAAAGCATGAAGCCGGAAGGGAGTTCCACAAGTGAGGAGTGTGAGAAAAGAAAGTGTTAACATAGAACTTACAGTTACATCTAGCCAATTTTACTGTAAATTGATGAAATCTCAATGCCAGTCTAGTATTGCGCTTGAATCATGAAATCTAAGTACCATAGCGAAGAGCTCATCCGAACAATTGCTATGAAAGTATTTATAGAAAAGACAGAGAGGCAACCTTACGGTAGTGGGAGAGTGACTGAAGACAAGTTGCCAGATCAGGACCAATAGTATTGTTGATTCTTCTTTTGGATTTTATAAAGGAGCTCCAGGTAAATATCAAGAGCATCAGCTTAGATTGGATTTAAACATGTATCAATATGGTGATTTCCTTTCGTCTTTCAATGATAATGTGATTAAACTTAACAGACAATATAAAAGGAACTTACTTAAATAGACAAAACTTGTCTCTGTCTCTCTCTCCCTATATAAATATATATATATTGACCACTAATATTATCAATATCTATCTATCTATCTATCTATCTATATCTATCTATCTATCTATCTATCTCAGTCTTTTCGTATCTATCTATCTATCTATCTATCTATCTATCTATCTATCTACCCCAGTCTGTTCGTATCTATCTATCTATATATATATATATATATATATATATATATATATATGTTGTTTCGTCAGAGTGTTGTTTCATATATTGAAATTGTCATCTTTGATAATGGCTTATGTAAGCCGAAAGCTTAGATTGGATTTAAACATGTATCAATATGGTGTTTTCCTTTCGTCTTTTAATGATAATGTAATTAAGCTTATCAGACAATATGAAAGGAACTTACTTAAATAGACAAAACTTGTCTCTCTCTCTCTCCCTATATATATATATATATATATATATATTGACCAATAATATTATCAATATCTATCTATCTATCTATCTATCTATCTATCTATCTATATATATATATATATATATATATATATATATATGTTGTTTCGTCAGAGTGTTGTTTCATATATTGAAATTGTCATCTTTGATAATGGCTTATGTAAGCCGAATCATTAGATTGGATTTAAACATGTATCAATATGGTGATTTCCTTTTGTCTTTCAACGATAATGTGATTAAGCTTATAAGACAATATGAAAGGAACTTACTTAAAATAAATAGACAAAGCTTGTCTATATTATTTAATGAAACATGCATTTATATATAGTCTTTTACAATTTTTGAAACAATATGATCGGGCACAAATCAAAGACAACAAATGATAAAGTACAGAAAATTACATTTATTGAAAGGTAAAACGATAACATTTTAGGATCTGCAACCATTTAGTCTCAAACATAAACCAAAAATATCAAGAAAAGCCCTAGAATACATGCTCTAGACATCCACCATTCAATTGAAAGTACTGTTGTATCCAAAGTTGATGATAACACGTGCGAATTCCTCCTGCGATGGCTGCATGGAAGGTAACCAGCACTGAGAAGATATTGCCCTAGTAAATGTTGTCCTTGAGACACTCTCAGAGGAAGAAATCTTGTGGGTTTAGGTCAGGTGATTGTGGTGTTCATTCGATTCATCTTTGCGGCTGATGAGTGATGAGACACTCTCCAATCTTTTTACGGAGCCATGCCATGGTAACATTAGCAGTTTGAAGAGGAGCACCATGAAGGTCCTCAGGCTTCTCGAGCTCTCCCCATCTGAGAGCCCGCTCCTTTGTTTCAACTATTGTGAAACACCCTATATATATATATATATATATATATATAAAGAAAGAACAGTAAGATATATAATCCGGTGTTCTTATAGATATTTTTATTTTTACAAAATTTCTTATAGATATTTTTATTTTTAGAAAATAGTGCTCAATGTTTGAATTTTTTATTTTACAAAAATAGTGCTCAATTTTGAAACATGGTTAGAACTGTGTAGCGAAAAAAAACATATTTTAAATCAATTATATATATATATATATATATATATATATATATATATATATATATATATACGCAGTCTTTCGCAATTTTTGAAACAAAGTGATCAGGCACAAATCAAGGACCACAAATGATAGAGGAATGGAAATTATATTTATTGAAAGGTAAAAGGATAAAATTTTTGGATCTGCAACCATATAATCTCAAACATGGTTGGAGCCCTAGAGTACATCATCTAGATATCTGTCGTTCAGTTTAAGGCGTTGTTTAATGCAAAGTTGTTGATAACACGTGTACATTCCTCTTGGTGGATCGCTTGAATATTCTCAGAGATAGCTGCCTTTAATCCAACAATAGTGTAAAGGTTGTCCTGGTAGATGTCGTTCATAAGGAACCCCCAGAGGAAGAAAGGGGCGTTCAGGTCAGGTAAGTGAGGTGCCCATTCCACTTCTTTGCGGCTGATAAGACGCTCCCCAAACATTTCACGGAGCCATGCCATGGTAACATTGGCAATGTGAAGAGGAGCAACATCCTGTGGAAACAACTGGTCCTCCTCACAAGGTCCTCACGCTTCTCAAGCTCTCCACATTCTGAGAGGCAGCTGCTTTGTTTCAACAATTGTGAAACACCCTATATATATATATATATATATATATATATGTGTGTGTGTGTGTGTGTGTGTGTTATGGTCCAGGTCCTTGTACCACGGTGATGGTCCAAGGTAGAACCAATAAAGAAGAACTCGAACACGGATAGGGAATAACACAGATATATTACAAACAGGAATATATACAGAGTGGTAGAATTTTTAGTACAAACAATCAGGTTTAGTAGGGAGAACAATGTAGTCTCGACCAGTATCACTATTCCAATGTCTTGTAGTAATTGTTTGAACGTGACTCTGTTTCGGACTGCCTCTGACTCGACTGACTGACTGGCTTGCTCTGACTGACTGACTGACAGACTCCTGACGGACTTCACTCCAGACTTCAGACTGAACGGTATTTAGTCACCCCTCCCCACGAGGGCATCATGTGGCACGCCCTTTGAACCCGTATAAACGTGTTCAGGGTCGGTTTTCCTTCCCGAAAGAGACTCCGCCATAAACACACACACTTTCTCTCTCTCTCTCTCTCTCACTCTCTCTCTCTCACACACACACATATATATATATTAGCAGGTAAAATATTTAATTCTTGAAAATATATAGCCGAAAACACTCGGATAAAAAGAACATTCGGACAGTTTTTTATATAATTTATCATCTGATGAGAAAAAAATTATTAGATCGCATGAAAAATTGTATAAAAAACAAAAAAGTATTGTCTGTCGTATTCAATGAAATGTGCATGAAAGAAGGATTGCTACCTAAATACACACACACACAAAATAAATATATGATGAAGTGCATACGAAGGAGAGAGGTGATCTGAAATTTTTAAGTTTTAAATTTAATTTTTTTAAAAATTTTGTTTTATTTATTTATATTTTTTACGTATTTTGTTTTACATACGTGTTTTGACTACGCGACTATTTGTCTCTATCCTGATGATGTCTTAAGAAAGTCGGAAGATTGGATCATATAACTTCCGAAACATTCTTTTCCGATAATTTCTGACGAAATTTCCACCTTGTTTGGGAAGTAATATTCATCATTTAAAAAGTTGATCAGCATGTCTATATTTGTCTACATGTATCTGTCTCCTACCACAATCCCCACGTCTAGACCTTTACTACGCTTTCTTTACCTCCTTCTTTCTCCTTTTCCCTCTTCTTATTCTGTCTTTTCACTATTTCTTTATTTTTTTCTTCTGTTTTTCTTTCTTCTTTTCTTCTGCGTTTTTTTATTTAGGCCTGGTTTCTTTTCATTTTATTTTGTCTTATTATCTTGATCGGTTTGAAAATCAATGCGAATAAATCTTAATTCGTAACGTGAAATGATCATAACATTACGTTATTTTAAATTCCTTTTTTGTATATAATATATATATATATATATATATATATATATATATATATATATATATATGTATGTGGGTGTGGTGAGTGTATCTGTGTTTGTCTGTGTGTGTTTTATAAATTAAACAATGTGGAAAACAGTTTTACTGACAACGCGTACGGAGTCAAAAAAATTTTTACACTTTCATTTATCAAACTTTTGTTCGGATTTTATATCCTTCTAACACACACACACATATGTATATATATATATATATATATATAATTATATATATATTTTTGACGAAGTAATATTCATCATTTAAAAAGATATGATATATATATATATATATATATATATATATATATATATATATATATATACATTCATTGATGCATGTTTCATTAAATACACACAATATATGTATATATTATAAGAGATTATAATAAAAACATTTTGAAATCGCTACACAAAAGCTTTCATGTTTCAATAGTATGATTGTAATCCAGGTGGTGGTATGTAACTTCTGATTTAGTGAATTTTAAAGAAATTTAAAACAAAGTGTTACCACTTTTCCGAAAGATAAAAGGGACGCATAAGGTCAGAATTAAAAATAGACTTCTGGGTATGTCTCGATTAACGAATTAAATGTTAAATGTATGCTAAATAGAAAAGTAAGCTCCGAGGATGGAAGTGGCTGTGTTATATTTTCATGTCACGATAAACCGGAACATAGACAGATCATCATTTACAATTGCGGGAAATATGCCAGTGACATATAATAATAATATATTGCTCTACTTTGTATTGAGCACTTTTAAAAAAAAGTAAATGCTACGAACAGTGGATTTTTACACCATCTGTTCTTTCTCTCATATATATATATATATATATATATATATTAGGCAGCATATATTTTATATATAAAGAAATAATCATACATAGAATCAATCAGCAATATTAATGCGATTAATGGTGAAATCACTTCGCTAGTAGAACATAATGTATGCATTAAAATACTTTTAATCCATTGAATGATGTGATCCTCATTTATAAAACTGTTGTCAGATGTTTCTAGTGTATATTTTTTTAAGTTAAGCAAGTACTTTCGAAGATGCATGTCTTCATCGTCAGGCTGTAATTTTTTCCTTTAAAGTAAAACTTGAAGACGAAATAATTGTTTGTAGACCGAAATATGTTTTTTTTAAAAATGTGCTATTTATTGACGGTTGTACAATCTCGGAACGTGTGAGTCGCAACGCTATAGTTCAAAATTTCAAGTGAGAAAAAAACTACTAAGACATATCACTATATTAATTGAACTATATACTTAGTTCATGTCATGTTAATTGAAAAACACTTGTAAAAAAAGAATTCGTGGATTTACCATATTACAAAATTCATATAAAAATTCTCACTTGAAATTTTGAACTTTACCTTTCCGTCTCGCAAGTTCTGAGATTGTACAACCGTCAATAAATAGCACATTCTTAAAAAAAAAAAATCTTTCAGTCTACATATATATATATACTAGGGTGCGCGTAGCTTAAGGAGTGAAATTGAATTCGGCAGACGAAACTGTTTGAAAGCCGTCGATGGTAGCACTAGAACGAATTCACAAGTCTGCCTGAGCGAGGATGTGAACGTCTCTATAACTAAGGTGAGCTCAGTATAGTTCCAGTATAAACCACAGGTGTGCTCTTTGAGCGCAGTAAACGACACAACTGTACCTGAGCACTCGTCTACAGCACGGCATGCTCGGGAATGAGTAACCGGCCATGATGGTGCATTGTGACAGTTCTTTTGTTTTTTTCTTCGCACGAAGACACCTCAACAGAGAGATGGGCGAATATTTTAAACTCGACAAATAAAAACTCCATGATTTACTTAAGTCTAAAATTATATTTGGCTTCTAGATAAATGGACAGCCATATTCAAATCATGAAATGCAGAAAGATTAAATATAGTAATGCCGTCAAAACGGAAAAAACGCGCGTGCGTGGGCGCGCAATCACACACACACACACACACACACACACACACACACACACACACACACACACACACATATATATATATATATATATATATATATCAACCATTCCCAATAGGATAGCACAAGCTCACTTAAATTGCCGCATCAAGAGATAAAATACATTTGGAGATATTTATTCTTTCTTATCTTTAACTTTAGACATAGATATTTTGAGACACGTGCTTTGCCGAATGACTTTCGTGTGTTGCTATTTGGCAAACTTCATATATATATATATATATATATATATATATATATATATATATATATATGTGTGTGTCTGTGTATAATAATATATATATATATATATATAAAATTATATATGTGTGCATGTATGTGTGTATAAATATATATATATATATAATATATATATATATATGTGTGTATAAATATATATATAATTATATATATATATATATATGTATATATATATATATATATATGTGTGTGTGTGTGTGTGTTAGAAGGATATAGCATACGAACAAAAGTTTGATAAATGAAAGTGGAAAATTTTTTTTGACACCATACGCGTAGTCAGTAAAACTGTTTTCCACATTGTTTAATTTATAAAACACACACACACACACACCCACACACACACACATTATATATATATATATATATATATATATATATATATATATATTACATAAAAAGGAATTTAAAATAACGTAATGTTATGATCATTTCACGTTACGAATTAAGATTTATTCGCATTGATTTTCAAACCGATCAAGATAATAAGACAAAATAAAATGAAAAGAAACCAGGCCTAAATAAAAAAAACGCAGAAGAAAAGAAGAGAAGAAAAACAGAAGAAAAAAAAACCAAAGAAATAGTGAAAAGACAGAATAAGAAGAGGGGAAAAGGGAGAAAGAAGGAGGTAAAGAAAGCGTAGTAAGGTCTAGACGTGGGGATTGTAGTAGGAGACAGATACATGTAGACAAATATAGACATGCTGATCAACTTTTTTAAATGATGAATATTACTTCCCAAACAAGGTGGAAATTTCGTCAGAAATTATCGGAAAAGAATGTTTCGGAAGTTATATGATCCAATCTTCCGACTTTCTTAAGACATCATCAGGATAGAGACAAATAGTCGCGTAGTCAAAACACGTATGTAAAACAAAATACGTAAAAAATATAAATAAATAAAACAAAATTTAAAAAAAAATTAAATTTAAAACTTAAAAATTTCAGATCTCCTCTCTCCTTCGTATGCACTTCATATATTTATTTTTTCTCCTATATATCTATATATATATATATATATATATTCAAGTATAGGATTGGTGTAGACGGAATAAATTCCAATAACCCAAAAAATATTCTTAAAAGAGTGCTCAATACAAAGTAGAGCAAATAAAATTAATTCGAAAAATATAATATAAATAAGTTTTATAACATGAATATATTTGTAAATATATTTATGTTATAATTTTCGAATAAATTATATATATATATATATATATATATATTGCATTTTCGTATGTCAATATATGTATATATTTGTTTGTTTTTAATTAGATGTATGGGTGCATTTTGTTTATTTATTTCTGTATATATATATATATATATATATATATATATATATATATATATATATATATATATATATATATATATATATATATATATATATATATATATAAAAATAAATAAATACCTAAACATGCATTCAATTAAATATATATATATATATATATATATATATATATATATATATATATATATATATATATATATATATATATACAAAATAAAAATAAATAAATACACTTACATGCATACAATTAAAAAACATATAAATATATACATCCATTTCCTATATATATATATATATATATATATATAGGAAGTGGATAAAATCCGACATATTTTTAATTTATTTTGTTTAAACGTTATAT